TTATGAGGACCTAGTCGAACTCTTAGAGAGTGCTAACATAAAGTGTCCAGATGGAAAGGAGTCTACTGTATCTGTTCATGATTTAGCACCCTGTCCGGAAGCAGAGTTAACCCCTGAGTCCCCTACTGTGGAACAAAATAGGAATACCCTGGGTGTCCCTATATCAGAGGAGGATACATCCCATAACGGAGATGGTGCTGGGGTCAAACAGGAGGACAAGACCCCCAGATCATTATGGATGGTAACGCTACATTTTTCTAGGAACAAAGAATGTGGTAGTCGTAGTATCCTATGTTCACTATGTACAAACAATGGACTCGCCCCAGTTGGCTATTTAACTTGTAACTCCTATTTTCCTTTTACTGAGTTTTGTGGGCACCTCGAGGCGGTCTCGCTAGAACAATTGCAACTGAGTCGTGAGTTCGATCCTTATTGGGTGCCCCATATTTTCGGTCTTGTGCCACATCTAAGCTACGCTTAGAAAATCACTGAGTTTTGTTTAGTTAAATAAAGCTTAGCACTTTTACTGTTGTCCTGAACTCTGTTTACAATTACTACACGATTATTAAAGTGACTTAAATGTTTAAAACTTTCTATATATGAGGGTCAAGTTGATGTTGAAAAAGAAACTTCAGGGTTACTGATTTTGAACCCTTTTTTAAATACAAGTTTTATCTAATCTCACTTTGTAAAACTGAACTGTTGTCTAAAAATCCAGAAACACAGCGACGCCTATGAATCTGCCATCATCCTTTCAAAAGTTGAATGAATGAAAGTAAGGGAACATTTGTTGATACTAATTATGATTGTTTCATGTACTTGACATAATTGTTTTAAAACTTGTAACTCCTATTTTCCTTCTTACCTAATTGTTCAGTACATAAATGTAAATCTTGTGCAATCTTGTTTTGTAATGTTATTTTGTGCTACTATTATTTTAATATCTTTTAATAAATGTAAATTTATTTCAAATTTAACATCGGAGTAAGAGGTGTTTTTTGTTTGCACCTTTCATAATACTAGGAATATGAGATTGACGTTCTCTCTTCTCCGCTCCTCAAAAAGACGTTCAAATTTCCCGTACAAATTTATGGTTCTTTCTTGATTTTTCATTTTCTTTTCTGATTTTTCATCTTAATAGTAAAACAAAGGTTTGACGATAAAATTTTGTTTTTATTATTTTTTATATTTTCACATCATTCATCCACTTTTTTAGCGAATTTTTGGAGGTACTTATAATAATAGTAACAACAAGGAGAATGTTGATGCATTGAAAAGACGTGTCACTTAATCAAAGTTGCCAATGAAATTCACCCACATTGATTCATAGCATTCACTGGAGATGACAAGACATCGTACTGAATGAATACAAAAAAGTATTATGTTATTTCAGAAGGAAATGCTTCCAAAAGGGATATGCGAAAACAAGTAATGCTGTAGACGAATGTGTCAATTATCGTTTTATTTTGACTCTATACTTTCAACTTTGCTTTATGACATTTATTTATTATTATTTTTAGGTTTGTTTTGACTGTTTTGCAATTTATAACTCAACAATTTCTTACTAATCTGAAAGAAAACACGGATATATTTTAGGTACCTGCATGAGATCGCTAAATAAAGAGCATAGCATGATGAAAAAGACGCCAAATTTGACGAAAAACAAAATTTTATCGTCTAAATGTTTATATTATTATTAAGAGGAAAGATCAAAGTTTATTTTAATTATTTTTTAAAATTTTTCCTTCTTTTTAGAACATTCTAAATTTTGATTAAAAAAACCTTGTTTCTCTTTGTATCACCGGAACTAGTAATATAACATAATTTTTAGCACATTTTTTTGTATGACACACATTAATTTGAAAAATCTTGCAAAAATAAAAATAATTGTCGGATGTTAATGAAACTTTCAGAAACTATTCACAGATTATCGAAATTATTATAAATATGTTTTCTTTTTTTTGTCATGGCAGAAATATTTTTTTTATATTTATTACCCCCCTCCAACTAATTTTATGAAAACGCTAGAAATTCGATCGCGTCAGGTTTAGTGATTACAATAGTTAAAAGCTTTTGAGGAATGCAAATCATTTTTTTTTGTTTTTAATTGGAACCACCCCCCCACACACACACCTGAAAATCAGCTCTGAATTGTAACATACAAAACTCAATAAAACAAAGATATTATTTAATTTCAAATGCTTTTATTTACTTTTAGTTGTTTTTATGAATATGGACAATATTCTCTGAAAGCAAAATAGTTTTTCGATAAAAAATGAATTTTTAATACAATTATTTGTTATTTCTTTAATTATAATAGATTTTTACATTTAACTTGTTAAAATATTATAAAATTAGTTAAAAACCGCATCGGGTTTCCTGAGTGTCCTTATAAAAAAATGATAATTGATATTTAAAAGAATTTCAAACTGAGATTTTCAGTTTTTTTTATAAAATGGAAAAAATGGTCAATTTTGCTGACTCGAGAAAAACAAGATTTTTAACGAAAATTTCGAACGTGCTAGGAGCGATTACAAAATGTAAAAAAAATACCCCCAAAATACTTTGATCTTTCCTCTTAATAATAACATAAACATTTAGACGACGAAATTTTGTTTTCGTCAAGTTTGGCGTCTTTTTCATCTTTTTTTAGCGATCTTTTGGAGGTATCTAATTTTAAAGTCCTAGGCAGGCAACTACTCAAATATTACTCATTGTAACTTAAATGTTTCAAATGTGGTCTAATTTTAATATGACTTTCGGGCCAAGTGGGGAAGAAAATGAAGAAAAATTATAATTTCACGTTGTGTTTAGGGAAAAACTTATAGAGCAAAATATATTTTCATGTGAAATAGGTATTATTTTAAATAAAATAATATTTTAATTTATTTAATATATCTTCTCTATAATAAATGCGAATGTCAGTGTGTCACATTTTTCAACTTTACTCCTAGAGGCTGTAGCCCAGCATATCATACCAGTTTGGAATCAGGCTGACCCCGTGAGCAAATTGAAAACATTCCGGGTCGGATCCGAACCCAGAATCCTGACATTTTGAATTCACAACTTTTCATTACTGCCATTGTTTTCGGCGCTTTTTTTTTTTTTTTTGCGACGAATTTCTTTGTACGAAAACAAATTTTATAACGTGGAAACAAATTTGAGAATAATCGAAATTAATTGCCACGTCCAGCGAAAGTCACCCATGAAATAAAAATAATTGTTTGTACAGAAAGTAAGGACTTACGTACATACTTTTTTAAAAATTAAGTGTCGACAGAAAAATTATCGTTGAACTTTCAAATTGTAAGCTTAAATGTACTTTAATGCAGCGATAAATATTGAGTTCTTCTGTAGTTTATTGAGGGCCGGTGTATGCATTGAGAGATAAACACTCATGTCTCTTGAAATGTCCACAACAACATGGCAGACACTGGATGTGAGCCCACATAAAGAAATGACAAAAACCAATATATATGTACAAACAAATAATAATGTATTAACAACAAAAGTATACAAGCGACATGGTAATAATGTGCGTAAAAAATGAATGTGTAAAATGTTTGGTATGTAGTTAGTGAATGTGCGTACGTACGTGTGTGTGTATTGTTCATGCGTTTCCCAAATGAGAAGCGCGTTCTCCGCGATAGGTTACATGTTGGCGGATAAGATCAGAAGAGAATGATAAAAAAGTATCGCAGAGTATTTATTGTCCAGAGAGTGTCTTCTAGGAGCAGTTTCGAAAATTAGGAGGAGGCAACCCGACAAGTTTATTGTTACCTATCGCATCTACTCCTCCCTAATTATTGTAATGAAGGCTTTTAAGCGGCTTTTAAGCTCGTAATAAAATAAAAATCATATTTAATTTACAATAAAGTAGGTACCCACAAAGATTCGCAAATAATGAACATACATGATGGAAAAAATGGCCCAAAATTTAAAAAAAATGTTTTGTCGTGAAAATCTTTATGCTCCTAATAAGCAAGGTTCAAAGGATGTTTTGGATTAAGATGTATTTTTTAATTCATTTTAGAACCATCGAAATTTTGGTTAAATATTCTGTTTTTCTTGCGTCAGCAGGTGATCATAAGTTAGTATGGGAAATCTGAGCGTCTTTTTGCGGTGAAAAACATTTTGATAGTGTTGGAGAAATATCCCCCAGAAATTTAGATTAATATATATATTAACATATATATATTTAGATTAATATATATATTAACATATCACAATTAACCAAAATAATATTAAAATACAAATATCTGAGATCTAAAATCTAACCTATGTAAGAATAATGTTGTTTATGAATTCTTTGGGAGATCGTATCTCCAACAATAACAATCATCAAGCGACATTAAATTCTTACATTGTCCACACATGCACCACACGCTTTCGTATTTCACTTATCATTTGTCAAAATTTAGTGCAGTTCACGCACATAGAGATGAACATATCACAAATATCCAAAATAATATTAACACACAACTACCTTAGCTCAAAAATAAAAAAAAAATAAATCTTCCCTAAAATTCAGATTAATGTTCACGTAGATAGAATATATATAGGTAAATTATTCACCAATATCTTCAAAATTAAACAAACTGCATAATAATGTAAATTGTCTTTGTTTTGGTTCGTGTCGTACTCATCCAAAGAATTTTCTTTTCAACCTTTTTCAATTGTTATATGTCGGACCGTTAGGCAGTGAATATTTAGTAATAAATCCCATTTTCACAATCTTACAATGGGTAAAATATTAAAAAAATGATTTGACGCATAGAGTAATGCATGTCGACAATCCACTAATGATTTTTTTATATCCCGTCTACGTATTTTAATAATCAGAAAAATAATTTGCTGTTTAATTTTGCTGAACACATCATTTCAATTTTTTTTTCAAGTCGGTATCTTTGTATACTTTTATTTTCAAAATGTATCCTCTTCTAACCTAATAAATTACTGAGACTGCAAGAAACGTAAGTAAATATAGATCATTTCCTTACCTGAACAAAAATGAACACAGATCCTTTCATTGTATACTGCAAAATAAATGAATAAATAAAAACTATTATCACTGTTTAACCTCCATACCCACAAAAAGTATGTCGAAAGGATGGTTTTTCTCTTGACACCGCTACGACTATAATCGTATACTTCCTCGGCAATATTTGTTGTTTTAAAAACACTATGTTTAGTATTTTAATAACAAAAACGTTACAGCGTTATTTACTTGTTATTGTTTATTTATAAGATTAATTTTATATATTTATTTACAACATTATAAAAATATGTGAACCAAGTACAACGCAATGTTTATTATTTACTACTTTATAAATAAACTCTGGGCCGAGCCTTTCATTACTGGGAATTTTTGCCGTTCAATTGGAGCAGTTTAAGTTTAAAGTGTATCCCACCCAAAAAACAATATTAGTCACAATTGGATGCAACTGAAACAAATCTCCAAATGGTGGGTTAACTATTTGAATGGGGAGATAACCCTGAAACTCGTTTTTGCGTTCTCAATCTTGTTTCAGCCTCACGCGCAGCAGCAGTTGAAGAGGCGTTTCTCCTCAGCCGTTAAAGTCCTTTTCTCATCATTTTCAGACTCGCGCGCAGAAGCCGATGGCTACGTTGATCTTCGGACTCAGTGGCTCTGATTGGAGCATTCCGAGAGGCAAACTGAATGTTCTAAAGACGATTTGCATAGCGGACCTGGCAGCGGTTTTGCGACCTAAGTATGTTCTTTTCTTTAGTGGCATGTCTTAGGCAAGTATGAATTGTCAAATGGAATACGTGGCCAAATACCAGAAAAGAACGCTGTAAAGCTACAGGGATCACTCTGCTCGAATAACTTTATGAAAGGTTGGAAAAATAAATATTGAGTAATAAAAAAGCAAGCGTACTTATTACTACAGTGAATGCAATGCAAACACTGGCAGAACAATAAAAAAATTCAATTGGGAACGGCTAGAAACGACAATGAAAGCAATGTCTTAAAACTGTACTAGTAGGCTTTATGCAACGGAAAAGGGAACATCACTTGAGAGAGATTAACATTTGACCAAGAGGAGGGGGAATGTGTAAGCAGGGCTGGACGTACAGAAGTAGAAACGGAATTGTGGAATGTAGCGGTAGCAATGAGCTTAAGACTGCGTAGACAATCAGTATGACATGGCGACATTTGATTGGACGTGTAAAGAGGTTTCGTGCAACCAATGTGCAACTCGAACAGGTGTCGCGTTCCGCAGGTCATGCATATACGCGTGCATTAGCGCGTGACACGGCGCGTGTTGCAGGGCCACATTTACACGCGTTGCTGTACACGCTACTTAGCAATATCAGCAGCAATCGTCAGGTGTGAATCACGCCACACGGCATGGGCTAGGATTGGAGGGTTATGCATGAAAAAGTAAATTAAATTTTGCTTTTGATTTTAGCGCAATCTGTAAAAAATCATTTTTTTCGATTTTTCACCTTCAAGGTTATAATTTTTTCGAGCCATTTTGGACGCAAAAGCGGCACTGAAGAATTATCTATTAAACAAAAAAAATTAATCAAAATCGGATGAAAACTGTGAAAACGCATAAACAACATCCGGTCGCACACACACACACACATACACATTTTGAGAATTATAGATAACTATGAAAACAATTATTTATTAATAAATTTATAAAAATGCTTGTGAACTATGCTCTATATGCACTGTCCCTTCAGGATGTTGGAGACCATAGCCCACCACAATTTCTTGTTAAATTTTGTCTATTTGATATCTCCCCTAAACCCTGTTTTACCATCCATTTAAATAAGCTGGTTAGGTAGATTATGTGCTGTTTTCCTCCGTTTCTCTTGCCTTCAATATATCCTGAGAGTATCAAATTCTCCAAAACCCCTTTCCTCATTATGGGCCTTAGATATTTCAACTGTCTCTTTGGAGGTTAAGTATAAGTGTCCTTTTTGTTTCCATTTTATCAAAAACTTCGTCGTTACTCACAAGTCCATGATATTCTCAGCATTCTTCTTTAGAACGACATTTCTATCGCCTCAGTTTTCTTCTTCAACTTTCCGGAGTTAATCCAGTATCCACTACCATATAGAAGGACTGATATTACATAACACTTCAGTACTTTTTTGTTTCTAACGAAATTTTCCTGTCTGTTAATACTTTGCTTATCTTTTGGAAGGCATATTTCGTTCTCCCAATGCACCTTCGCATTTCAGTGTCGCATATTGTGTCCTCTGTTAAAACACTTCCTAGATATGTAAATTGTTGTAGTTGCTTAATTTTAGTGTCTTCAATATTTTATTTGATGTTGGGTTGTTCCTTTTGCTAACAACCATGCATTCTGTCTTCTTGCAGTTGATCTTTAATTCTTTCTTCTCGCTTTCTTTGACAACCCTCAATAGTTTCCTTTCTGCGTCAGCTATCAACACTGTCATGGGCATATCTTATGTTGTTAAGATTGTGATCGCTAATAATGAATCCTGGTAGGAATTCAAATGTCTCTCAAAATCGCATCACTGTATAGTCCAGTGAGAAAACACATTCTCGTCTTACACCCCTTTCCACTTTTGCATACTTACTAATTCATTTTCTATTCATATGAAGGCGGTTTGCTGCCAGTATAGGTTTTAGATTATTCTAATATCTTTCCCAAATCATCTAGTAGAAAACCAAGTTTTCATTCCCTATGCAAACGATCTGAAATTACCGCCACAATTATCTCCAAACTGGAGAAAAATACAACCATCAGTTTCCAGTACATAGCTGGGCACTTCGTATACCATAATACTGGTCCTCTCTGACTCTTATACCTTACGCAGAGTACACATTCCTTATTTTGTTTAGCTTTCTTTCACAGGGCTAAATACTCCTCTTTGGTAGTCAACGGTATACCCAACATTGAGAAGAGATTTCTTTTCTCGGTCTGCAAGAGTTTCACCCATTGACTCAAGTGTACCCTTTATCTTATTCTCTTTTCTGTCCATCACAAATACAGCGACATTTATTTTTCAATTGCTCTTAACATCGGACAGGTCAACGAATAACTCACCAACTTTAACGAGGTAGTTGCACTACTTGACCCGATCCACGAATTGATATTAAGCAAATAAGTGGCAGAGCTTTTTCACATGTTGAAAAAAGATTTCTCGTGTGTGTCGTTCTCGTTTCACATTTTTATTCTTCTTTTCAACTTGGTTATTCGATGTTGGTTTTAATTCATTATTTTCTTTTTCATTTTGTCTCTTTTCATTTTGTGTGTTATTTTTCTTCATCTTATTTATTTATTTTTTCTTTTCTTTTTGGTTCTTTTTGCATTTCCCCTTTTACCGAAGGTTCGAAACCAGATTTTACGGACCTACTGTCTTCCACGTCGGTCATTAAAACAGTAAAAAATGTCTTAACTTTTAAGTAAATAGCTGCTGTGTCAGTTTGGGTAAATCCAGTCCAGCATTGTCTAAGAATGCCCTCTTAAGTCCTTTAAAAAAGAAATTGATCAAAATGGCGTCCAGTAGTCAACAAGAATGGCACAATTCTGCCCTGTTTTTTTCGCACAGCCTTTTATTGGAGTAAAGTCGCTTAAAGAGCCTGTCTTTACAAGACAGAGAAGTCACTCTGACTACTGGAATTTTTGGAATTTTTTCTTAGGTAAAAAAGAAACTGGTCTTTGCTTCTTTATTTTGATTCTTTGCTTAGTTCGCGGAGGCTAACTCTTTTGGTTCGACTTCAACACTTCAAACAATCTGTACTTTAAATCACAAATCATCAGATTATTTCCCTTCGGCAATTAGTCTCATCTGTTAATCGTTAAAAGTGTTTTATTACTTATTTAAGACGTACATAGTAAGCATTTACTTCGTTAAAATATTACTTATTTTATTAAAATATTATTTTAGATCAAAATATTACTTAATTTCTGCATTACTTTTCCCAACTCACAAGCCAGAATTATGACGTTTTATCTAGAGCTTTCTCATATCCTAACAAAACATTTCTTTTTCCACGGTTTTAAATTCACTTTGCTACTTAAAACTTAGCTAATGGGGAGGAAAGATAGCTTCATGCCTTTCCCAAGAGCTTTGGTGCAAAGGAAATACAACAGATCAGTATGGAATTTGAACTCGTTTCGCCGATCCAACTTTCCGCGCTGATAATCGACACACTACCTGTAAACCTAGGTACCTCCACGAGATCGGTAAAAAAAGAACATAGCATGATGAAAAAGACGCCAAACTTGACGAAAACAAAATTTCGTCGTCTAAATGTTTATGTTATTATTAAGAGGAAAGATCAAAGTATTTTGGGGGTATTTTTTTACATTTTGTAATCGTTCCTAGCACGTTCGAAATTTTAGTTAAAAATCTTGTTTTTCTCAAGTCAGCAAAATTGACCATTTTTTTTTTCATTTTATAAAAAAAACTGAAAATCTCAGTTTGAAATTCTTTTAAATATCAATTATCATTTTTTCAAAACTTATTTTATTCTTAAAATAATCAGAAATTATAATGTTTATTTAAAATATTTTGAATCCAGCTTAACTTAGCTTCTGCATCGAAAATATGTAATTTGAAAATAAAACAATGCAGGTCATAAACTTCCGCGTCACTTGACAGGTGATGAAGGACATATTGACGGATTCCGTGAGGATAATTTGTTCTACGGATGGAGAAAAGTGAAATTATTTACATTTAAGTGAACAAATTATTTACCTCGTTATTTTTAAGGAAAACTTTCAGCGCTCTGATTTTTTGTTTTTTTTTTTGTTTTTTGTACTTAGCTTTCATCTTTACGTTTACGATGCTTTATGGAAAATTTATTATAAAGAAATTAAAATAAAACTGTTAAGAGTGAGATTAAATTTCATATTTCATAAGAAAGGTATCTAATTAATTTATAGGTAGCTTTCTTATGAAATTTTATCAGGAGTGTACATAAAATACTATAATTTTATGTACATTTATTACATTTTACTGTGTTATTTGTATTTCCATTCATTTTATTATTAATTTTGATTTTTCATTTATGGAAAATGTCATCACTGAGATTAATATAAAAATAAGATCATATAAATTTCATATGATACTGATACTTGTAGGTACCCTTCTCAGTTGAAATTGAAAAATCAAATTAACTTCTCCACACGTGTTTCGCAAAAGTAAAGGCCTCAACAGCGGAGAACAATGCTTATCTCAAATAACGCAACTTAATTGTATACTGGTTGGTCTTCCGTACTTTATAATTACAGCGCGATTATAAACACAAAATTACATTTCTTAATTACTGCAGATCTTCTGATTAGTCAAAATGATACAATTTACAATGCGCTAAAAAAGATCTATCTTATAAGGACACTTAGGAAACCCGATGCGGCTTTTAACTAATTTTATAATATTTTAACAAGTTAAATGGAAAAATCTATAATAATTAAAGAAATAACAAATAATTGTATTAAAAATTCATTTTTTATCGAAAAACTATTTTGCCTTCAGAGAATATTGTCCATATTCATAAAAACAACTAAAAGTAAATAAAAGCATTTGAAATTAAATAATATCTTTGTTTTATTGAGTTTTGTATGTTACAATTCAGAGCTGATTTTCAGGTAGGGGGTCCAATTAAAAACTAAAAAAAAACATGATTTGCATTCCTCAAAACCTTGTGCTTTTAACTATTGTAATCACTAAACCTGACGCGATCGAATTTCTAGCGTTTTCATAAAATTAGTTGGAGGGGGGTAATAAATATAAAAAAAATATTTCTGCCATGACTTTAATAAAAAAAATATTTATAATAATTTCGATCACCTGTGAATAGTTTCTGAAAGTTTCATTAACATCCGACAATTATTTTTATTTTTGCAAGATTTTTCAAATTAATGTGTGTCATACAAAAAAAAAAAACGTGTTAAGAATTGTATGTTATTTATTAGTTCCGGTTGGTACAAAGAGAAACAAGGTTTTTTAATCAAAATTTAGAATGTTCTAAAAGAAGGAAAATTTTTAAAATTAAAAAAATAAACTTTCCTCTTAATAATAACATAAACATTTAGACGATAAAATTTTGTTTTTTGTCAAATTTGGCGTCTTTTTCATCATGCTATGCTCTTTTTTTAGCGATCATGGAGGTACCTATAAACCCAACTTTACTGTCTTTTTCAAGCCATCGTCATTTAATAGAAAAATGTCTGTCTCTTGGTGATCACCTATGTCCTGAATGGACATAACATAAGATGACGTTTTTATCTAATAACTTGCTTTCATCATAAACAAAATAGCAAAACAATGAACATTTTTTTGCATTTCCTTATTTATATTCAGTAAACTTAGCTTAGTACCGTACACACTCAAACTGAGGCAGAAGTTTGGAAAACGAGCTCCTTGAAAATCAGCATTCTAACTGCTAGCTTTTGTCAAGGCTCGAACATCAAACCTCTGGTAATAATGAGAAATAAGCAATTACTTCAACTTCAAGGGCACCTCTGCTTGGTGTAATGATTAATAAACTAATCTAGTTGAGTTCAATCCACACTGGATGCCCTCTACTTGTAGCCCGGTTCCAAAGTTAGCGTAAGAATTATTTCAGTCACAACATAGACTATTCGCATTTCCAAATTATAGAAGACTGAGAAAACATTTTCTTACAACTAGAATGAAAGGATGAAAGTCAAAATAAATGCATTTCACTTACCAATTTTGTTGAATTATCTTCCTTTATCGTTTTCAATACTTTTCGATTTGTTTGAACAATAGAACTGAAAAAGCCAATGTACAGACTTGTAGAAAGTAAGAATAGGATAGACACTGAACAGGTCACCGAATTAAAAAATATATTTCAGTCCTAATTTTCTCATACAGAGCTTTTGTTTGTATCGGAAACACTATATGCAAGCACATGACACGGAAATCACTTTAAACACTTAGAGAGAGAGAGAGAGAGAGAGAGAGAGAGAGAGATTAAGAGAGAGAGGTACAAAGAAAAAATTAACAAGAATAAATATCCGGGTCCGATAAGATTTTGAGAGCGCCTAATTTAAGTATACGAACAAAAAAACAACTTTTTGTTGGTTGCCTACTAGGATGCTTCGTTTTAAACCTTTACATAGTAACATTAACATAATTAGTATTATAAAAAACAATAATAACAGTAAAACTAAAAATATCAGTAAAATGCAAAACGTTGGTCACGATGATGAAAAAGTCACTGAATGTCCCAAAAATATGAAATTATATCTGCTTATGAAATTTAACAATGAGGTTGTGCAAAATCGTGTTTGAATTTGAAGCAACAAATACGTTGCATTTTCTATATACATATCATTGCTGATCTGATATACATCAACAGAAAGCAATAAAACGGATAATAATGTCGTATTATCGTGTTTCGAAATACTATCTTTTTCAGTAGTAGGGTGAGCCCATTTCTTCAGAGCTCGTGCAATGAGTATCCTGGACTCCAAGGCTCTAAGTAATCCTCTTAAAGGAACCAGGGTGTGCTGTCAGTGGACTCATCACTTGGTGTAGCGGGAGCGGGTATCACAGGTGCTTTTTCTTGTGCAGTTACAGGACCTGCTTCTTTTCCCATTTGGGCCAGACCTCTTAGAGACAGTATCTTGTCTCCCATCTGGATAGCATATTCTAATGTACTGGCGGTTTGTTTCGATTATCTTTCATTTATCCGAAAGTGGTTCGTGCTTGCTCTGGCGAGTATGACGTCTTTGTACTACGGTCTCATGTTGCGAAAGCCAAGATGGGAGGCAAGTATCCGTAGAGCATTTCGTACATAGCATTTGCTTTAGCTTGCTTTTTTAGGTTCTTTTCCGCTGCAGTATATTATTATTATAGTAGGTGCAATATGGTCTACTTGCACTTCTTTACCCATTTGAAATTCCCTTTTGAATTTGTTGGCTTCCTTTAATAATCAATAACGTTTCTTAATTTTCTTTCATTTTCTTTGACACAGATGATCATCCAGTCTTCTGTAGTTTCATCTTTGAAGACCAATTAGTGTGGACAGTACTAGTTAAACTAATCCTCTGCCTCCTTCGGAACTAGACGATCAATATAAACCTTAGGATGATGCACGTAGTGGCAAGTGAGAAGCTTTCTCGTTTTTTTATCCATTCGCTTAATGCTAGCTATGGTCAAGTTAAGAATGTTGAAACTGGGACAGACAAAGTGTTTATGGCTGATATTCTGTTTTGTGAATTCAACTTTGTATTTAACACCAGACACACTCTCCTGTAATATTCTTTTCTTACTTTCTCCTTCATTTGGGTCTGCTGTATTCCATTTCCTTCGATGGCTCCTATGTATTTATAGGCTTCCTCTTGTTTCAATACTCTAATCTTTGTGACAAAATCTAGATCTATAATTCTCCTTTGTTACTTTTGCACATTTATCTATTCCAAGATCCATACCAGTGTCATTACTGAAACATTTGAAAGTTTCATGTTATTATCATACGCAAATCATTTGGTATCATCCATGTAGAATAGGTGATTAAATACTTTCTTGTTTATTTTTTAATCTATAGTTATTATTGTTTAGTTAATGTGAAAGTGGGGTTAAGGACAGACAGAAGTGGGTAACAGGATGTTTCCTTGAAATATTCCTTGTCGGATATTCAAACAATTGGGAGAGACAATGCCGCTGGTGTGAGTTACGTATAATGTGGTATTTCACAGTTCTATACTATATTTAAGAAAATTTACTATAACCGAGGAGACCTTGCACATTTCCAAAGCCTTAAGGATCCAAGAGTGTGGCACACTATCAAAGTTTTTGTGGTAATCTATTTACGCTGTGCTGATATTTATACTTTTTTTCCAGAGACATTTTGCTTATCAGTAGTTGATCTTTGCAACCTTATGAACCTCTTTGATATCCCTTCTGTCCCAGGGAAAGAATGATGTTTTCATCGAGAAACAGACTGATAGGACAGGCATGATCAATTTCTATGTGGTGGACAGATATGTTATTGGACTATAATTTTTTGGATCCATTGTTAGATCCGGTAGGAAATATATAATACCTTCAGTAATCCAATCTGGATTTCATTGGGGTTATTAATTAGCATTGATAAAGTTTGCGCAAGAGTTTTATGGATTGATGACAGATGCTAGAGCCAAAAGTTGGGTACCTTTTGATATTCTGTAGATTTCCATTTTGGGGATTTTGTTAGAGATTGCCATGCCTTTAATTGTTTGTTCTGTTGAAGCATTTCCTTGATTGGCGGAATTTCATTTACAGATTTAATATTATATTTCCGGTTGATCTTCCCGCTTTTCCGTGTTGAAATCTCATCTTGTATCGACAATTCACATCTGATTTCCTCAATTTCTCGCTTTAATTTTGCCTTCCAAGTTGGATTCTTTTCGTTTGTTGCTTAATCTTTTATTTGTTTTGACATTAAGTTTTTCAGAAGCTGCTAAAGCTGTTGCATATGCGACATTATTTATACTGTGATATTTTCCAGTTGTCTGTCTGTTAACAATGCTTGCAATGCAGCATTATATATTTGCACATTATCTTTGTCATTACTTTTTTCCGTATGAAATTGGTCTTTTTATGACATTTGTGTGCGAGTTACTTTGATTTGAATGACGTGATTTCAACTGTTGTTTGCAGGAATTCTGCTCTCATGTCATTTGATTCATGTTCATCAGTGACAGAATCTAAATCAGTACAATTGTTTATGTCGCAGCTAAATTCTCCCGTTTCATTAACTGAGAAATTACCATTTCGTATCTCATTTTATTTAGTTTGTACCTCATCTTCTGGCATATTATCCATTTCTACTCTTGCCTAATTTTTTCTTTGTGTAATATTTTGTTTTATATTTAGGTTTAGCATCTATTTCTGTATTTGAGATGCGGACATTGGCAAGCATATATTAGGATAGGGTCTTATTTTAGTCCCTACCATATCTCTTCATTATTATTATTATTATTATTATTATTATTATTATTATTATTATTCAGTTTTCTTGATTTCCTTTTTGATACAAATCTTTACCAAGTCTTTTTACGTGAAACCTGAGGTAAAGGAAGCTTTTTATTATTGCACATATTACTGAGTCTGTGAGCAATACTCATGATCACAATATTTTGTATCTCGAATTCTGAGGTGTTCTGGAGCTTTCTTAATGTGTACAAAAATATTATTTTAAATAATTATATTATGATTGAGATATTGGTTATCTTTAAAAGCTACATTCTTGCAATTTCTATTTCCAGGTTCTTCTGCTGTTGCTACTACTACTAATGATAATAATACAAAGTCGAGTCCGTCTTCATTTTTAACATTACATTGCCGCTCGCAATCAAAATAAACTGCATACATCTGCAAAGTAACTTATGACAAGTATACAAGACCAGATCCCTCTGTATACGAGTATAATCAATTCTTTTGAGTAGGGGCGTAATTATGTCAAGTTTTGGTTTAACTATCTTAACAAAACATTAAAACTATCCTCAGCTCAGAAAAGTGAAGAGCTACAATAATACTGTCATGTCAAACGAGTAGCGGGAAAACTTGAACACAATAACTATAACAATCACGGCAAATGTGAACACAAAGAAGACTTTGAAAAGTATCTTCTCAACCAGAATTTTTCAATGAGGACTTGTCAAGATTTGTGTCACTTCTATACGCGACATAAGGCAGCCGAAAAGCAAATCCTCTTAAGTGGATTTGGTTCATTCATGATTGGATATAATTCAATAAAAAAGATCGATTATGTTAGGCAAAAGTAGACAGATAAAGTTGGAAAGAAGTAAAATGATGGTTCAGAATTGAAAAGAAGAAAAAGAAATGATTTACATGTAAAATAGAATTACAAGATAAACGTAAAATCGAAATAATAGTACGAGATGCGGAAATGTTGTCGGTCTAACCCACAATCCAAAATCATCATTAGTTAACAAAATATCAAACTAGTTTTCATACAGAGTGACTAAAAATAAAACAGAACCCATAAATATTGTAATAAATCCTACAAAGGTCCAGTTAATTTCAAGAAACTTGGTAGATTTACACTTCAGTCTGTGTACGATCATTTCCTCCAAAGTTTAGTTAAATTAGTCGCTTTGCATAAAAGTCACATCCTTTCCAAAATATGCTCCAAATGGGCTTTGCGGCGTTGGAGGTAAACTTGCAAACGTCGCGCAAAATTGTCAATTACTCAGGCACATTCCTCTTTGAGGGATTTCCTTGATTTTTGCTGTGATTGCTGCCTTCAGTTCACCAATCATTTGAGAGTTGTTCTGGTACACATTATCCTTGAGATACTCCCCCCCCTCCACAAATAAAAATCTATGGGGTTCAAATCCGGTGAGTGCGGTGCTTAATCAACGTCACACTTCCTACTGATCAGTCTCTCCTGATATCGCCCTCTAACCCAGGCTAGGGAGTGATTTGATGTGTGTGTGTGGGGGTGGTGGACCCGTCTTGCTGGAACCCTTGTTCATCTCGATCTATGTCTCTGCATCGTCCCAGTGATGCGCAAAACTTCCTCGGCATTGCCGTATTCACTGTTTGAACTCTTATTTTCGTCTTCGAACCAATATGGGCCGATAATGCCATGTTTAGAAATTGCAACCCATGATGTGCACTTTGTTGCGTGTAAACATTGGCTTTTGCTGTTTACATGTACTGAAAGCATAAAGTGCGCTTCGTCAGAGAACCAAACATGATCCAAGAAGTCTGGATTGACTTTGATTGGGTCAAAAAACCATTCACACATGGTTACGCGTTTTTTCATGTCCGTCTCCGTCTCAGTTTTGCTTTATTTGGATGTTGTAAGGATACAAATGAAAATCGGATTTAAGAACACACCTCAAAGACCGTCGAGAGATTCCCAGCTGTTGATTTCATCGTCGCAGTGATTTCTTTGCACTCTGCCCCACTGAGTCACGTACAGCATCAATGTTCCTTCCTGTTCTAGTACTCACCCTCCGACCAGAATAAGTGTCCCTCAGACTTTTAGAGTTCAGATTTTGCAGTCCCATACTTTCTAAACTTTTGAGCCCAGTCAAAAATTCTGCTTTTTGATGGAACATAACGACACTGAAACTTTTTCCGAAAGTTTGCTTGCACTACAGTGTATGATTTGTTGGTGAAATAGGCCTCTACACAAAATATGTTTCCTTGGTTGATTAAGACATATAAAAGAAGATCTATGTTCCAATATTTCATGCACGTAATTCTTGTATATAGCTTTTTCAAAGTCGTTGTTTCTGATTTTTTTTTTTGGTTGAAGAGTCCAAGATAGACTCTATATTTTTTTATAATTACCACACAATACTTTAAAGTATTGTGTGGTAATTATTTAAAAAAATGACTCCGTACGGATTCAAGCTGAAAAGGGGATGCTGTGGTGTCTTGGACTCTTCCGCCTATTATAAGATTAGTAGGAGAGAAAGCATTGGAGAATAGTCGCATAGATTGTTCAACTGTCAAACTCTCTACCTCGGCAGAAGCTTTGACGCAGGGCAAAGTTTCGTCCGGAGAGAGAGAGATAGATAGATAGATAGATAGATAGATAGAGAGAGAGAGAGAGAGAGAATACACTAGTATTCATTCAAAAGAAGAAAGTCATTAAAAGTTAGAAATTGTATGGTTGATAAATGTGTGTGTGTGTATGTGTGTGTTAAATCACTAAGGCGAAAGATCTCCAATGCCCGGGAGAAATTCCTGGTTGGTGTCGTCGTTACAGCATGCTGAACGAAAAGAGAGAGGAAAAGGACAGGAAGTATCCCGTTTCTATAGGTGTTGGACAGCGCCATCTAACCACTTCTTGGAGAGACGGGCAAAGCTATTTGGGGATACCCCACACGGCTTGATTAAAAGACATTAATTCTGTTTTAATTTTATTTAAAGGTTGGAATCCAACTTGTACTGCAGCAGATTCTAATCTTAAATGAAATAGTCGTGCTAATTCAGAAGTGTGTCTATATTTCTGAGATGAGGTATTATGTACATTATTTACATTATTTGGACTATTGTCCTCATCTTTGTCGCCATATTTATTACAACGTTTCGGCCGTTGTACGCTCCGGCCTTCTTCAGGTGGTTGGAATGTCGAACTGAACCCTTTATTTAGACTGTTCTAGTTCCATGTGCCATGTTTGATGGATGTCAGTTATCAGTTATCTCCTGTTAATTTCCCTCTGAAAGTTCTCCACTGCCACCGGGTATTGAACTCACACTGGATCTAACCAACTCCTTTATCCACTGTGCCATGTGTCCTTGGGTATGAATTTCTGGGTATTATAAACCTAATGTCTTCAGCAACCTTTTTTAACCAGTGTTCATATTGCAATTTTTGCTGTTATCTTTTCATGTTTTACCAGAGCTCATATTGCAACTTTGTTGTTATCTTTGCTTTTCTCTGGCACTCCTTATTACTGGTTCCCATATTGTATTTATTTCTATGCTTGGTCGACTCAGGAGATTTTTGTGGCCTAGCATATGTGCTGATTCCTTAAGTTTACGAATTTTCCAATGGTGTTATTTTTTTTCAAAACGTCTTTTAAGAAAATCAGAAATTATAATGTTTATTTAAAATATTTCGAACTAAGCTTCTGTGCCAAAAGATGTAGTTTGAAAATAAAACAAAGCAGGTCATAAACTTTCGCGTCACTTAAAAGGTGACGAAAGACATTTTCATGACGTTTTGATAGCTTACGTGAGGATAATTCCTTCTACGGAAGGAGAGAAATGAAATTATTTAGATTTAAGCGAACAAATTATCTCGTTATTTTTAGGGAAAAATTTCAGCGCTCTAATTTTTTTTTTTTGTACTTAGCTTTCACCTTTACGTATACGATGCTTTAAAAACAACTAAAAGCAAATAAAAGCATTTGAAATTAAATATTATCTTTGTTTTATTGAGTTTTGTATGTTACAATTCAGAGCTGATTTTCAAGGGATGGGTTAAAAAAAACATGATTTGCTTTCCTCAATGCCTTAACTAATATAATCACTAAACTGAATGCGACTGAATTTCTAGAGTTTTCATAAAATTTAGTTGGGGGGGGAGTAATAGACATATAAAAAAAATTTTCTATGACGTAAAAAAAACAAAATATATTTATAATTTCGATCATCTGTGAATAGTTTATGAAAGTTTCATTAACATCCGACAATTATTTTTTATTTTTGCAAGATTTTCCAAATTAATGTGTGTCATACAAAAAAAGAATGTGCTAAAAATTGTATGCTATTTTACTATCAGGTCATCCCATAAGTTCTGTCCGAATTTTGAATAAAGAAAACAAGTGACCAAATGTTACATTTAATTACAGATTCAATCAACAATGTATTTTCCCTGATTATCTACGACTTCCTTCCATCTATTAACAAGCTTACTAATTCCATTACTGTAAAATTCTTTTGGCTTTGATTCGAAGAACTCACAAATATCAGTTTTAACCTGTTCCTATGTTACAAAAGCTGTTTCTTCCAAATGATTCTGTAAGCTACGAAACAAATGGTAGTCTGAAGGAGCAAGATCGGGAGAATAAGGTGGATGAGGAATTTTCTCCCAACCAAGTTCTTCGATCTTTTGTGACGTGATTCTTGCTGTGTGGGGTCGCGCATTGTCCTGATGAAACATCACCTCTTTTCGATTCACTAGAGCAGGTATTTTTTTTCCTCAAAGCTTGGTTCAAACGCTCTAATTGCTGACAGTATATTTGAGCATTAATTGTTGCATTAGGTGGTAAGAATTAAAAGTGGATTATTCCTTGGCGATCCCACCAGATTGAAAGAAGAACCTTTTGCCCATGAAGTTCTCTTCTTGGCTGTGGCTGGAGTTCTTCCATGTTACCAAGCCACTGTCTACGGCGCTTCGATAAAAGATCCATTTTTCGTCGCCTGTCACAAGGTGAAACAAGTTGGTGAGAATAGAGAGAAGAGCAGATGTCAACTCGGGATTTGAGGTTGTTTTCAGACAATTCATGAGGCACCCATTTTCCAAGTTTAGGAACTTTTCCAAGTTATTGAAGATGACGATGAACAGTTGTATGGTTTGAACTGAGAACCACTGCCAATTCCTCAACTGATAAAGCAGGATTTTCTTCAAGGGCTGCTTCAAGAAGCTTTTCATCAAACTCAACTGGACGTTCGGTTCGATCTTCATCTCCACCTCTGAATTTTGCAAACCATCTTCTGCAAATTCTTTCATTCACACATTCCTCTCCATAAACTGAGTGAATGTTTCTAGCTGCTTGGGCGGCTGAGTTTCCTTTCTAAAACTCTGTTGAAACTTGACTAATTCATGGAATAATAATGCAACACAAAATGTACTTAGAACAAAATGTATTGAAACAAAAAAGTGTACACAATATTTACATATAGTCTTTTGCATATTCCTGGTAAGACCGTTCCTGGAGAATGTGTTGACTGAGTCGCAGTCGCGCAGAGTCTCTGGTTGAATCTCTTGATTCCCCCTCTCTTCCCGGTACCAACTATATTTATATGGTCGGTACTCCACTATGCAAATTAGGTGGATCCTACCACAACACCCCCCTCCTAAGCCTTGGAATCCCTTTTGGATTTCAAACTGGCTTCCTATATGGGTTGATGATTATGGCTATTTCTTTGTAGATCCATTTGCATACTTCATATGCATATGTCCATCCGCTTAATTTTAATAATTTTTCCGTTTTGGATTCACGTCCAATGGGTCCGTGAACTTTCGTTTCCTACCGGATCTTCTCGATTCAGGAGTATTCTACGGAGGTTCTACTTGAAACATATCATACATTACCTCAATGGGATCTTCCTCCTCATCCGGTATACTCTCTTCATGCTCTATAACGTAACATTTTTTAAGTTGATTCTGGTGCCTTTTATGAGTATTCTTCGGCCCTTTAATTATGTAAATCAGGTCACCGATTCTCTTGTCCACTATGCCTCGCTCCCAGAACTCAACGTTGTTTTTGTAGCACTTGAAAAACCCCTCTCTCCGGAGGTGTATCTTTTTCTCGCTGTATACATAGTATTCTTTTTTTCTATTTTTCCTGGCAAAAGTTTGTCAAACACTGACTTAACTTTCCTAGCGAACATTAGTTCAGTTGGTGCCATGTTTGAGTGTGTTCTCTGATTTGGCGTGATTCTGTATACTTGTAGGAATTGCTGAAGCGCCTTTTTCGTTGAACTCCTGAGGCTTTCTTCAGAGCGCGCTTTAAAGTATCGACAAATCTTTCTGCGAGTCCATTGACTTCGGATGATACGGCGGCGTCGTTATGTGGTTAATTTGATATAACTCAAAAAATTCCTTAAATTCTTCAGAAGTGAATTGTGTACCATTGTCACTCACAATACACTCTGGCACACCGAACCGTGAAAATAGTTCATGCAAGAAAGTTGTTGTGGTATTAGACGTAGGCTTTTTGCAGCGTAGTACTTCCGGCCATTTTGTAAAACTATCTACCACTATTAAGTAGTAATAATCTTCTACTGGCCCAGCGAAATCAATGTGTAATCTTGTCCACGGATGATCCGTCTTGGGCCATAGCTTGTGTACTATAGGTGGTGCCTTAGCTGCTAACACACATCCTTTACATCGATGAACCATGTTTGCGATATCCACATCCATTCCTTTCCAATATACAAAGCTTCGCATTAAGCTTTTTGTTCTATTAACCCACTGGTGACCCATATGAAAGTCCCGTAGTATTCTTTTCTGCAACTTTTTTGGTACTACTACTCTCTCACCATATAATAACACTCCTTCACCCATTGAATAAATCTCCTGCACTTTTTGGTCATTTGCTACCATTTTGCCTTTTATTTCTAAAATGAAATCATCGCTTTCAGATTCTTTTTTAATTTCCTTTAGTGTAACCGGTAGCTCTCTTACAATGTTGTTTACCATGCTTTCACCTCATAATCTTCTCTGATATTTGCAATAATTGATTCTTCGAATCTTTCTTCCTTGATAAACTATCCGCATGAATTATATTTTTGGATGATAGGTGCTTTATGTGAAAATCATAATTGAGAAGAATGGTTACTCCATCTCAACAGACGATTTGCCGTATAAACGGGTAACCCTTTCTTTGAACCAAAAATAGTGATCAGTGGTTTATGACCCGTTTCAAGCATAAAATGTCTGCCGTGGATGTATCTGCGGAATTTTGTTATGGCAAAAATGATACTCAACGCCTCTTTTTCGATTTGTGAGTAACTTCTTTCTTCTGGGAGTAAAGTTCTCGAAGCATGTGCAATTGGTTTTCTAGAACCATCTGGCATTATGTGTTGAATACACGCTCCTATCCCGTATGAACTGGCGTCACTTGCCGCTACAATATCCAGTTTTGGATTGTAATGGGTTAAAAAGAGGTCGGACGTAAGCATTCTCTTTATTTCATCAAAGGCTTTCTTACATTCTACCGTCCATTCCCATGCCTTGTCTTTTTTTAGCAGTTCATTCAACGGAGCTCTTAGATTGTACATTCCTTTAATGAACGCTTGATAATAATTTGCGAGCCCCAGAAAACTCTGTAGCATCGCCACATTAGTGGGCGTCGGCATGTCTCTAATCGCAATGGACCTTTCCGGA